TCCGCCCAGTTCTCAGCATTCAGGCCCAGCCTGAGCTTGGTGCTGGAGGCCCAGGGCTCAGGTGAAGGAGATAAGACAGAGGCTGCGCTCCTGGGGACGTCAAGCCAGGAACAAGCACACACGCCCTGTACTCCGAGCATGGTCCTGGTTAGGGCAGCGCGGTTACTTGGGGCTCATCCCATGTGCAGAATCCCAGACGCCAGCCCAGAGCTGCGGAGTCAGAATCTGTATTTCAGTAAGATCCTCGGGTAAGCCGGATGACATTACAGTGAGAAGCTGTATTGTAACAAACACAGAGCTCCATCAGATACCACAAGGTGGCCAAGAAGGACAGAGGGGTGCTGGCTGAGCGGTCCAAGAGGGCATCACAGAAGACCCAGGAGTGTGGTTTCTTAAAGCAGGGGAGAGGAGGGCAGATGGACAGGCGGATAGCATGGCACTGTTGAAGCTCACTGCATGAGGCTACCCAACAGTGTGAAAGCCTTGTGGTTCTCAGCAGTCAAGGAATAAAGAGGGCAGGCCAGGCTAGAGAGGAGGCAGCCTCAGCACATGGCCACAGACCGGGAGAACCTGGAACCCAGGCCTCCACCCAGGTGGTTGAGGGTCCCAGCTGCGTTCTGTGTGCCAGCCTCCTGGGAGCACTGCCCCTGAGGTCTGCCAAGCCAGCCTCACGAGGTGGGGGGCACCTCACACTGGAGAACTCACTGTCCTCTGTACCCACTGGCAACGCTGCCAAGGCAGCTCACCTTGAAATTTCCCTCTGCACCACAGCACCGTCCCTCCCTGGTGCCCAGGGCTGCAGCTCCTTTCAGCCCACTTTCCACGCTGCCAGAAGTAATGTTCCAGGGCAATGGCTCCCAGGAAGGCTGAAATTGGTCTCCTAACAGATCTCTTTTTCTTCTCCAGGTGTCTAACTCTGACCTCTGATTTCATTTCCATTCTACTAGCCACGGGAGGCCCATGCCCCAGATACAGAGGGGACACACACACCACACCCCGGGGAAGTATCGCACCTGCCTCCTCCCTACCTGGCCCAGGCCCTCTTTTGGGGTGGCCCACAATGGTTTCCCAACTTCAGCCCCCTTCAGATAGTCCTCAATTTAAGGGAGCCACACACACTGCAAATTAACTGCCACACTGCGTGTATGTTTATTTATTTACTTATTCTTGGATGCAGACTCCATAGATTCCAGCAGATTCTCAGTGAGGTCTCTGACCCCTAATAGGTCCAAAATCCCAAGTCACAGCCAGGAAGAGAGGCCATGTGATCTGCCCAGGAAGGAAGGAGGCAGGGGAGGTGCGGTCACAACATCCCTGGGCCTCTGACAGTGACGGTCACAGAGTGTTCATCGTTGTACAATTTGTGTCTGACACGGAGATTGGCAATAACATTCCCAAGGAGGTTCCAGGAAGGCTCATATCGCAAACAGGGCCTCATAGTAGACAGAGCGGGGAGGGGACAGAGGTGAGAAATGGCAATGAGTGGGTGCAGGGACCCACGGGCACGTCAGGAAGTCAGCTCAGGCAACCTAGGACCCCTAGTCTGTCATCTCAATGCCCCTGGTTTCGGAGCTCAGCTGCATCCAACCCAAGGGAAGAATGCTTTAAGGGCTTCCTTCCCTTCGCTTCGTCACCACCCTGGGAGGCCCAGGCCAGCAGAGGGTAGGGGCAGAGAGCTGGAAGGTACACAATCCACCTGCCTCTGTGCCCACACTGAGCTGGTGTGTGGGCCCCGGCAGTGGCCCCAGAACTGACATTCCACATATGGCCTGCCCTGCCAGCTCCACATCCACCTACACAGCCCAAGACACCTGCTCAGACACCTACGTTCACATGCTGGGCCGACTCCCCGAGCTTGGGGCTGGAAAGGCCGACCAGCTTCTGAGAACAAAGCCAGCTACAACTTTCCTTGTGGTCCCCACTCCCTTTATTCCCCTTTCTTTCCTCTTAGAAAAGCCAGTGTCGATGCTATGCTTTATTTGCTCAGATCCCCATCACCGCGGCTTGGCTCCAGCACATGGCTCCTGTGGAAGGAAGGACCCACTGGAGACCAAGAACCCAGTCAGTGTTGAGCAAAATCTGGACAGCAATGTACAGAGGGGCAGCCACAAGTGACTTCTTCCCTTCACAAACCATAAAGACAAGTTTCAAAAGGTAAATGGGGAGCTTCAGGGGAGGGGAGGCCAGACGGGCCCATGTAGACTAGAGGACCCATGCAGGACCTAGGGCCATGGCCTAGGGGGAGTGGCACAGTGACTCAAAGCAGAAACTGCCAAGGAAAGCCCATTATCAGTCGTGCCCAGGGCACTGTGGGACCCCTCCAATCTCCCAGGTAAACCCATCCCTGCCCTGGAAAAGCAAACAGCCTTGCTCCCCCCGGGAAAGGAAAGGCCGGGAGCAGCCCATCTCAGCCAGCCCTAAACTCTAAACCACAAACTCTATCTATCATGGTTTGCTGGCAATCCTTTATTAAATCAGTTCTGCTGGATCAATGCTTCCTGCCCGTCAAAATGATGAATAAATCCTGAACTGGGCTGGGCAATGTTTGCAGAGGCTCTGATAGAGCTGGAGGTGGGAATGACAATCGGTGCCACAGAGCGGCCCAAGGCCAGGCACTGAAACTCTAGGGACTAAAGCGTGGGGTCCCGGGGACAGGGGACACGGGTTAGAATGGGTTGAGTGGTGGGTTTCCTAAGCTTCGCTGACTTAGCCAGGCCCTTGCCTCTTTGACTTTCTGAAGATGAACTAGCTATTTTGGCCTAGAGGTATGACCACTACCCCTCCAAAAGCACACATGCATAACCACACACGCGCACGCGCACACACACACGTGCACACACACACACACACACACACACACACAGATGTCTTTCTTGGGTTTCTTTCCTTCTGCCAGACCCAGCATCAGACAGTGACAAGAGTGTGCATAGGGGAATGTGCACTTCCAGCCACCCATCCCTGCTGCTTGTTGCACAAACCCAAATCCAACCCAGTTGGACTGTTTTTCCATTGTCCATTTATCATTCATTTATCAGTCCTGCTACATCCACTCTCTCTCCACCCCACCACCCTCCCGAGGCCAGGACCCAGGCAGCCTGCAGTCGGTAGGAGGCTCTTCAGAAGGTGAACCACAGACAGACAGACCTGACAAGCAGAGGTAAGACCAGGAAGGCTGGAGTTTCCTGTGGGCGAAATCAACCCTGTCCTGGCTCCTCACCATCCAAGGTAATGGAGCCCAGGCCCAGTGCCCAGAAGGTCCTCCATCAGGGGTTGCTGTTCATGGAGGCTGGACACACCTGAGGTCGGCACTGGGCTTGGTGACAAGAACCCTGGACAGAAGCTTTCCTGGGGGGGGGCAGGGGCAGAGCAGAGGGGAGCCCTCAACCATCTCAAGTGGCTGATATTGGAATGGCCTATCACCACCACTGAGGACTTCAGCAGGAGGAGGAGGAGCCCAGGACATGGGGTGGAGACAGGGCACCTGTCCACTCCTCCCAAGCTCAGCCTGGGATCCTTGAGTCCCAGTCCTGGCCAGGGAGAGTCCACTCTCGGGAACCTGGCACTGGGAGCCCAGCCACTGTCCCTGAGGGGAGGAGCCCACATCTGTTCACACCACTTGATGGCTGAGGCTCTGTGAACCCTGCCCTCTGGCCTCCTTACCCTCTAGGAATGGCAAACCTGGATCCTAGGGTTGGAAAGATCAGTCCCTCAAGAGGAAAAAAGGAAAAGAAGGAAGAAAGGGGCCTCTATTCACCTCCTATTTTAAGCCATCAAGTGCTGTCTGACTGGTCATTCCCAGCCAGAGAAATCTCTCTCATTGGATGGAAAATGGCTTTGCTCTCATTACAAATCCAGCTTCCCTGGAGTTTGCAAAGAGGGCTCATGCTCATTTATATAGGCAAGCAAAGGAGACGAGCAGGGGGCAGGGCCAGAGAGAGGGAGAATGAGACACCCAGCTGGAAAAAGTGAATGCTTTCCAGGCCTTCATCTCAACCTGGTGTGGGAGGGATGCCCAGAGGGGCACTGGGGGATCTCAGGACTTTGGCTAGGGTAAGGACATCCCTGTCCCAACCCCAGGGGCAGCCAATGATCCCACTCCTACACAGCTACACTTACAAACCCAGAATGGAATCTGTGGTTCAGTGGCATCTGACTCCAGTGATGCAGGAGGGGGCAGGGTCCCTCTCCCTGACTGGCAGTCATGCCTTTGCCTATGGACCCACAACACACCCACAGGGGACCCGGCAGCTGCTGGAATTCGGGCCACTGGGTTGGGAATGGGGTCCTGAACAGAGCTTGGGGTCACAGGACAGCTGGACATCAGGCAGGACACCACCCATCTTCACTGACCACTATGAGCAAGGTCATTCTCCTCTGCTAGTCTGGAAGTGCACTGCCCAGGGAGTCTGCTGCTGGTCCACTATTCAGCATGAGAGGCTGGGCCCAGGGTTAGCAGGTACAGAGGGCTTTTATCCTGGTCACAAGGCCCCAGGGACCTTAGTCCTCCAGGTGCCCGGCCACAGCTTCCCAAGGTGCCAGGGCAGAAGGATATTACTGCCTGCATTCAGCACCCAAGGAGCCGGCCCAGCACTGAGAGGTACACCTCTTTCCTGGCCCTGCTCTGCAGGATGACAGACTTGGGCTGCTTCTGGGATGGCCACCTTGTCTCTGCAGCCCTTAAGGGGAGGTGGAATGTGAGGCTCCAGACGGCAGAGCTCTAGTCTGGCTGCAGGGAACGTTAGGCCAGGCTCAGGACACCTTTTCAGTCTGACACCAATGCGGCCCAGACGGAGGAGAGAAAAGCCAGAAGCCAGGAACACAGGAAAGTTCCCATTGAGGAGCAGGAGGAAGTCCGGGGGTGTCTCAGAGTCTATAGAAGCGCCCCGCTTCTCTTGGAGCTCCCAGTGCAAGAAAGTTAACTCTGGCTGGGAGGCAGGACCGACAGAGGAGCATGCCTGCCACCAAGCCAAACACCCACAGGTTCCCCGCAGGCCTCTTACCTGAAGTCGCTGTAGGGGTGGATAATCCAGAACCCGGCGGACTTCACTCTCTCCTGCTCACGCTCCACGGCTTTCTGGCTGCCGAACATCCTCAGAGAGAATTTGTTGACCCCGGGCTGGAGCATGGCTCCGAACTGGCGCTGCATGAAGCCGGCCTGGCCCAGGCGCACCTCGGCCTCCGGGAGGATCTGATCGCTGGCGGCCGCGCCTCCCTCCACTTTGATCGCGGTGTCCGCCGCGGGCTGCTCGAGGGAGGCCGAGGCTGGGTGCTGGGTGGGTGGCGGGGAGGCTGCGGGCTGCGCCGCGGCACCTGGGCGCTCGGGCTCGGCTGCCAGGCCTGGGGGCGTCCTGTCCTCGCCGGGGGACGTGTCACCCTCGGCGATGAGCCGCCGCTCCTCGGCGGAGTCATGCAGGTGCCCGTGGCTGCCGCCACCCCCCGCCCCACCGCCGCCCCGGCTGCCCAGCGAGGCCAGGCTCCCGCGGAAGCGCCTGCAGTCGCCGTTGGTGCTGGACTTGGCCGCGCTGCGGCCCGGCGCATCGCTGTCCGCCGCCCCGAGGGCCGCGCCCCGAGACTCCGCAGCCGCCGAGGGCGAGGGCGAGGGCGAGGGCAGCGGCCGCAGCCGGATGCTCCTGCGGCGCGGGTCCTGACGGCCCCCGGCACCCTCGTCCTCGGCGTCCTCCTCCTCGTCCATGATCCACGCCTTGGCCCCCACCTGCTGCGGGAGGCTGTAGAGCCGCTTGCGCATGGACGGCGGGAGCTTGTCCATGGTGCCCGCAGCCGGGCTGGGGCCGCTCCGCCCGCCTTGGGTTCGCGTCCTCCGCCGCGCGCGGGCCGCTTAGGAGCCCATGCTCGTGCGCCCCGCTCAACGCGCTGCGCCTCCTCGGGGCCAGCCCGGCGCAGGGACCCTGTGCTCCCCCCGCGCGCTCCCCCCGCGATCGGGGCGCGGCGCGGCCGGCTCCAGGCGCCCCGCCCCCGCGGGAACAATGGGCGCTGCGGCCACGGCGTGGGCTCTGTTCCTCCCGCGGGGCGCACAGCGCGCGTCTCCCCGCGCGTCCCGCGGCGGCCGGGCTGTCTGTGCGCCTCGCCGCCCGGCGGTGCCCGCCGGCCGGGCCCGGGGCTCCCGCCGCAGCCGAGCGGAGCCAGCGGCCCGCCGGGCTTACATCAGCGGTCGCCTTCCCCGGAGCGCCCTCCGGCCGCGCCCCGGCTCCCGCGCCCCGGAATATTCATGAAGCCGCCGCGGCTCGCGGGTTGCCATAGGAGCGGCTCCCAGGCCTGGCCTGCCTACCTGGGCTTCTTAAAGGGGCAGCGGCGCGGGCCAGGGGCCGGGAAGGGGCCACGGGGCAGGGGGCAGGGGGCAGGGGGCAGGGGGCGGGCCCGGCCCAGGGCACGGGGTGGACCCTTGCCAGACCTTAGGAGCTTTCCTGCCTCACGCTTGCACCCTCAAATGGCCCTTCTTGACCCAGGCCTGGGGGGCGCCCCCCAAACGTTAGGCTTCGGCTTGGGTAGCGAATTCCCCACCTCCAGATGAGGGGGGCGGGGTCCCTCAAGCTCCCGCTCCGAGCTCGGGGCTCCTGCATCTCCGCCGCTCGGCTCCTCCCCGCCCAGGTCCCCAGCCCTCCGGGAGGCGTGGCGCGTGTGGATGCGGAGCCGTGCGTTCCTGCAGCTCGCCTGGAGAGGGGGTTTCCGGGAAAGGCGCGGCGCCGGGGCGGCTCCCAGGGTTTTCCCCGAGCTCGGGCGAGGGGCGAACCCTGCGCCAGTCTTTCGCCGGTTGAGGGGGGCTTGGGGGACACTCGCGGGACACGCACAGAGCGCGCGGGTGGGACCCAGCCCTTCGAGGTAAGACTTCGAGGAAATGTGCTAGCAGCAGCCGGCGACGTGGAATTCCAGCACCCGGTCCCCCCAAGCGCCGCTCGCAGGGTACATCCAGTCCGAAGTGGGGTTCCCAGAGGAGCTGTCGCGCGGGCCCCTCTGGGACTTGGCACTCGGCTGACTTTGGGACCCTTCTCCCTATGATCCTGTCCAGTGGAGACACCTTCTGTGTGGACCCGCGCCAGGGGGGGTTCAGCTCCACTCAGTGGCTGCACCGCCCCGCTCCCCGTTTGAGTCCGCTGCCCCCTCTCCAGGCCAGCTGGGTGTCATTTCTCCCGTGCTGTATCCAGGCTTAAGGACAAACCCCACTTGCTCAGCCTGAGGTATAGCTGTACTCTCCGGCACCCCTCGACAGCCAGCACCCAGTGAGCTCAGAAGTGGGCTGGGGGAATAGATGGGGCCTCAGAAGGAAGGAGGTGGCCAGGGAAGGTTGGAGTCTGGGTTCATGCTGACTCGGATCCTCAGCAGCACGAGGCAGGAGAGAAACAAAAAGGTCCCAAACTCTAAAGAATAGCATGAAGTTTTTCTTCAAATAATTTTAAAATTCGAATTCTTAGCCCCTTATCACCGCCTCCGCCATTCTCCACCTGAAGCAGGAATTTTGGAGGCAGGATCCAGGTTTGGAGGGTGGGCAGCCTGGCAGGGGCTTTTCTGGTCTGCCATCAGACCACGGGAGCTGGGGTGGGGGAGGGAATGACTTGGATGGTGACATCACCGGTGGCTGGCATTTCTACTTTTGAGCAGCTCCAGGCTGACAGTTCTCTGCACAGATTCGGAGAGGCCTAATCCCTGAATGTCCTTGGGTCTCCTTGAGAAGGAGCATTCCTAACTGGCTGGGAGCAGGTCTGCCCTGGTGTACCAGCCACAGAGGGAAGACCATCTCCCTCAGCTCACTTCCTCCGACTTCTTTGTCCTAATCCAGCTTCAGGATGTGGTCCACACAGGCCTCCCAGCCTGCATGATCCGTGGCATGACACCTTCTCCTTAGGAACCCTTTCCTGAGCACCCAAATCTTGATCGTGTCCCCCTTTGAGTTCCCATGATCCACAAGCTCCCAGCACCCCGAGCACTGATGATGGTGCAGTGTGTGTCCCCTCCTCAGCTCCTGGGGGATGGAACAAGTATGACTCAGGACAGGGACCTCGGCAGCAACACAAAGGTAGACAACAGATTGGTGTCAACTCTATGAGTGAATGAGTGGTCCTGGAAGACAGCTGACGGCAGGGAGTGGGGTCCTGGGAAAAGATAACCAAGATTCTGATTCTGCTGCCACCGGCTGGCCAGTCAGAGCCTCCTGATCCTTCCCCTTCTAGCATCCTGCTTAGCCTCAATTTGGTCACATCACCTGTCCACAATCATCTAGAACCAACTTTGGCTACAGAAATGTCCATTAGTAAGTCAGGCCCAGGGGACCCCTGTTGAGGCCAGGCCTCTCCCTTCTTGCTCATGTAAAATGCTAATGGCGAATGTCTGGTTTGCCATAGGTCTGGGAGATGAGGAGGAGGCAGTACCCTGGTCTTGCCGTTGGTGGGTTCCAGTAGGTGGGGAGGGGGGACACTCACTCAGGAATAGAGGAAAATTAGTGACAGGAAAGGAGTGTGTACTAACATGTGCCCCAACCATGGGAGATTGGAGAAGGGAGGACCTCACTGAGTTTGGGGTATTAGGGAGGGCTTCCTGGAGCGGGAGGTCACACTTGGTGAGAGACATGGATCCAACACTTGAGAGTTTACATCTGATTTGTTAAACCCACAAGAAATTGTCACTTTGATGTGCCCAATGGGGTCACATTTTGGCAGTTTCATAAGGCTTAACCTAACATTCTTACTCCCATTTTTGAACAAGAGAACTAAAACACAGAGAGGTTAAGTGACTTGCCAAATTCCCCACAGCAAGAAAATGATGGGAGCTGGAATTCCAACCAAGGGCTGCTCAGGTCAGGCTCTAGCTGGCTCCCAGGGGTGGGGAGAGGGTGGGCACAGGTGCAGGAAGTAAAGATGGAGAAGGACCCCTAGCCCCCACATTTATTACACTTCTCATTACAGAGTTTACACTAGAAGGCCTGGGGTCCACTTGGCTTCCTCTAACACATCAGCCAGGGCCTGGGGACCTCAGCAAGGGGAAGACACTGACTTGGGACAAGGATAGAAGGAGACCTGCTATGCTGGACACCAGGGGAACCAGGGGAGTGGGTAGGAGGACTGGGAATCCCTAGAATGCAAAGCTAGAGGAAATCCATGCCATAGAGAGATGGGGGCTTGGAAGGGTGGGCTGGATCCCCTGCAGGGATAGTAAATATTAGTGGGTTCAGAAGACCCGCTTCAGGAATGGGAATGTAGCTGAATATATATATCAGCCTCAGGCCTTATTTGGTGGGGACCTAGATGGGCAGAGGGGGATGGAAAATTCCAGAAGTTTATTTGCTTATGGCTGAGGGCATTATTCTTGCTTGGAGAGGCAGCTCTGGGATACCACAGGCTCCCACACCCTGCAGTGTCAAGATTTTGGCCAGTTCTGCTTGAGATGAAACACACAAGCACACACAAACAACGTAGGATATTTTAGGGTCAGGTTGCGAACTGCCCCTTTCTTAGAAGGCTATCTTTAGTCTAAGATTCTATCCTTGCCACATTTTCTGTGTTAAAATGCCCTTTTGTGAAATCCTGGTGCTGGGAGATAATATTTTTTCTGCCCTTGGCCAAATAAAAAGTTGGCATAAGGTTCTGTGTTTGTTCCCCAAAACCATTTTTGAAGTGCTATTGGTCTGTGAGTTCCAAAAGCCTGGGAACCCCCGCTGTAAACAGTGGAGTGTGATGGTGTGATGCTAGAAAACAGAAGTTGTAGGATTAAATTCTCCGTCGCTTGTGGCATGTATGTGCCTCAGTCTTCCTTGTGTGTAAAATGGGCTCCATGGTATTTAGCTCAGGTGTTATCAAGAAGACTGTATGCACCCACCATAGACTTTTGTTTGTAGTAAATTCTCAGAAAACATCGAATGAGGAGATGGTGGAATGAAACCTGTATTTGCCAATTAGACACTTGGCTTCTGGAATCCAGTTCCGATCATTTATTCATGTTGACACTGCTTTTGGGATGAAAGGGAGGTCTGACTGTACAAGATGCTTCCTTTCAGTTCTCCCTCCCTGGTAAGCTGGCTGGGTCTCCAAGCCCCAAGCCAGACCACAAGCCCCACAGGCAGCTGTGCTCAGGACCCCTGAGAAGGGCTTCGAGAGCTGGGGATCCATGCCCAGGGACAACTTCATCTTTTGGTTGAGTTTAGACAAGGTCCACCCAGCACACCTTCTGCTCTGCTCTCCACTAGATGTGCTGTGCAGGGCTGGACAGGGGTCGGGAACAGGTAGACTTCCTGCTGGGGGTTCCAATCTGGAGAAAGAACGCTGGCATCAGCAGCATCCTCTTAGCTTTCCTGTCCCAAGGCTTCCCAATGAGGAAAGGGCACACAGGAAGCAAGTGGAACTGGCCAGAGACATCCAGGGAGAATAAATAAACCAGCCCGTCTTGACTGAGGAGCCCTCTGGTACACAACCCAGTGCACAGATGCCTGTGGTGGTGGCTGAGAAGGCAGCGGGTGCCCTGCCTTGGGCAGCTCCTGGGCTGGTAGAAGCAGCTGAAGGCTACCCCAAGGCTTTAGAATGGAAGGTCAGAATGAAGGGTTCAGAAGCTCAGAACAGTGGCTCTCTTGAGGGCGATCATGGTGGGCTTCTCGGAGGAGGTGGAAAGACAGCTGCATTTCTAGACAGCATTGCTCCGTGTGTGTGCACATCTATTACAGGGGAAATAATGAGTGGAGTAGCTTGGCAGAAAGGAGGGCTGTGACATTCTCTTTGTGGGGTTAACAAGGATAGGGCTGGGGGCCCTGTCCTTGGGGTGCACTAAGCTGCTGGCTCCAGGAGGAAGTCTGCTGTCTCCACAGAAGGACGATATTGGGTCCTTTTGATCCCATCCTCCAGCACCCTCAGCCCTGGACTCTGGCTATAAAGCACCAGAAGCCCACATGTCCACCCTCCCTCTAATCACATTAAGCCCACAGTGAGCAAGAAGGCCCTCCAGGCCCCACTTCCTGTTGGGTCACCATCTGCTTTCTTCCCAGTCCTGCCTGGCCTCTCTAGGATCCAGCCGAGAGAGCTACTGAACCAGCCCCTGCCTCTCCCAGGACCCCGACTGTGAGCACCACAGCCCTGCAGAGCCCAAAGCCCTTTCATCTCCAAGCCAGTGCTGGCCCCACGGCTCCTGCTCTCCTATGCTCCCCCATCCTGGGCACCCAGCGGTTCCCTGGGGCTCTGCCAGGTTATTGGGTGGGCCCTCATGCCCCCAGCCCCACCCCTTGCCCGAGGAAGGCTGGGGAAGGACGTGCTGACAGCTCAGCCAGGCCTGGACTGTGTCTCTGTGTCCTGCCAGGGCTCCAGGACGTCTGGGCCACCTGGACTGGGAGCCAGGGTGGAGAGGGAGGCACTGGGAGGGGAGGCTCCTGGGGTGCTGGCTGAGCGGAGCTGCCAAGAAGTAAGTAGCAGAGTCTCCTGTGTCCTGAGTCTGGAATTCTCCACATATCAGAGCTGAAGTGGGTTCACAGTCCCCACGGAGGAGGGGAGGAAGGAAGGGACAGGATGGGCGCATGGGCAGGGTCGCATGTTAGGAAGAGGGGTGACCACAGCTAGGGAGATCAGGCTTCCCAGGAACCCCAAGATGAGCCAGGGACCTGGTTCCTCCCTCTCCCAGGCAGGACAGCTCATCCTCATGCCCTCTTCCCTGCCACTTTGTCCGCCACCCCCTCAACTTCTCCATGTTTTCTTTCCCCCCCAACTTCACATGAGCCCTTTCATTTATCTAGCAAGTGTGCAGAGCAGCTGTTATGTGACGCTGTGCGATACAGCCCCCAATCTTCAGCCACCTCCAGGCTGTGGCTAGAATGAGACAGATTCCAGAACTCACAGAGAAAGAAGGCAGGGACAAAAGCATGTGATGTGGACAAGCGGCATGAGGGCCGAGGAAGGAGGAGGCAGAGTGTGGAGGAGGGGCGGGGAGACAGGGTTGAACTGGTCTCTGAAGAAGGCAGGGTGCCTTGCCCACCATGGTGGCACACACCTGTCATCCAAGCACTCTTGGAGGCTGAGCCAGGAAGATTGCAAGTGTAAGCCCACCCTGGGCAACTTAGTGACTTAGCAAGACCCTGCCTCAAAATAAAAAGGACTGGGGATGTAGCTCAAGGTGAAGGCCCTGGGTTCAATTTCTAGTGCCCCCCTCACTACAAAAAGAAGGCTGGTATGATTGGAGAAGTGGAGGGAGGAAGGTGGGCAGAAGAGCTGACAACACTGTGAGCAAAGCGAGGCTGAGGGGAGCCCTTGAGCAGGGCTGGGTGAACAGGCTGGGGGTCACAGCCATGGAGACACAAAGGTGGTTGATTCTAGAGCAGTGGGACTGACCCAAGTGACTTAAGAAAGGCCAGGACTTTGGGCTGGACCATCAGGTTGGTCCTGGGAGCCCATCCCTGTGCCTGGCTCTGCAGTGAGTAAACTGGAAAGAGGAAGATGCATTCCCTGTCCCGGAAGCCCGCAGTGGGCCCAGGAGAGGAAAGTCCTGCCTGAGGCTGCTCTGTCCCCCTGTGGCCCACGGAGGGAGCCACACCGAGCTGGGAGGTCTGCTCCCCACCTCCCTTCAAGGCAGGGTAACTTGCTGTCACTGAGCCACTTCTGGTGTGTGACAGAGCTGTGGCTCACAGGCCACCCACAGGGCCCAGAGAACAGGCAGAGCAGACAACAGAGACTGCGACAGGGGCCGTGCTAGAGGCTGTGCTAGAGACAGTTGTGACAATAACTGTGACACACACTGTGACGGACAGGACACTGTGACCTGGCTCTGTGACAAGGGCTCTGATAGAGACAGTAGTAGGGGCTATGACAGGGACAGTGATGGGGGCTGAAACAGTGTGACAAAGGCTTTTCTACAGTCTGTGGCAAGGACTGTGACGAAGCCTGTGACAAGCTGTGACAGAGATTATGAGAGAGTCTGCGGCAGGATTTATGACATGGGCTGTGACAGAGGCTGTGCTAGAGACAGTGATTCGGGTTGTGACTAGAACTGTAACATGCTATGGCGGGGCTGTGACATGCTTCTGTGACACGGGCTCTGACAGAGGCTGTGATAAAGGCAGTGACTGGGAGTTTGATGGGGCTGGGAGAGAGACTGTGATAGAGGCCGTGACAGACACTATGACAGGGACTGTGGCAGGGCTGTGATAAAGGCTGTGACAGAGGCTTCGAAAAGGACTGAGACAGAAACGTGACTAAATCTGGAAGCACAGTCAGAGTTGGGACAACAGTTCCTGGAGCCTGGGCCCACACTCCCACGGTGACAGAGCAGTTGGCGGTGACAGCAGCAACACAGCACACACACGGGCCAGGCGTCTGTGAAGACGCGGCAGGCTGAGGCTGCCATGTCACGGGAACGTGGTGACAGGGACGTGAGCGTGGCTGCTTTCTCCAGCGCTGCAGCAGACTCCTGTGTCCATGGGCAGGCTCCTGGGGGCTGCTCTTTGCATGTCCCCCAAAGGCCACGTCTGAAGGTTTGGTCGCCCGTCTGTGTGCTATGGGAGGGCGTGGAACCTGTAGGGGTGGGGCCTAACCGTAGGAAGTTGCATCATTGGGGGCGTGGCCTGGCAGGGGTACTGGGATTGGAGTTCCTCTGGTCTTCAGGAGAGAGCCCCTTCCTGCCCGTGGCTCCCAACTGTGATGCTCTGAGCCACCACAGACTCAAAGGATGGAGTGGAGATCATGCAGGAACCCAGTGAAATTGTGAACCTAGGTAGACCTTTCTTCCTTTGTTTTTGTTTTTTTGAGACGAGGCCTTGTTACGTTGCCCAAGCTGGTCTTCAACTTCTGGGCCCAAGGGATCGACCTGCCTCAGCTTCTCAAGTAGGTGGCATGCATCATCATACCTGGCTCATTTCCTCCTTTTGAAAAAAATTGTTTTGGGGGGTTTTTTTGGTACCGGGCATCGAGCTCAGGTCCTTGCGCTTGCGCAGCAGGCGGCGAAACCACTGAGCTAAATCCCCGGCCCCCAAAATTGTTATTTTTATTAGTGCATGTTTGCAGTACACTATGATTGCATTCTTCATGGTTATTTTCTCCTTTTGTATCATCTACAGTGACAGAAAGCTGACTACCACACTGGCCCTCAGTTTTCTTGAATCCGCCTACCTCAGGAGACATTTAGGGTGAGGTAGGTGCTAACATGGCCTGTGGGGGACCCAAGTTATTACAAGGGGTCTCTGACTCTCCAGTCTCTTGAAGTGCATCCTACTGACGGAGTCCACAATGTGTCTTCCACATATACATCAACTATTTCCCTGGCGTGTGCAGGTGCTACTGTATTGTGTGGAGCCAAACACATGTTTGTGTTGAAGGATAAGCGAATTCAGAGTCAGGATCACTAACATTTTTGGAGAGCTTCCTCTGTGCCAGGCACCACGCCAAGTGCTCAGCATGGATTAGCTCATGTAATCCCTGCTGGAGCCCTGTCAGGTGAGTGGTATTATCCCCATTTTACAGATGATTAAATCGAGGCTCGAAGAGGTTGACTAACTTCCCAAGCTCCAAGGTTAGAGGAAGAACGGGGCTTAAGGCCAGTCACGGGTGACCTAGTCTGTGCTCCTATCCATGAGCAGCTTCCGCAATCACAGTTGCTGTTGTGTCATATATTTTGAAGTTCACAGTCAAAAATGTTTTCAGTGGAAAAGGAGCCTTCATACTCGAGCTGGCAGGGACCTTCAGGAAAGCAGCTGTCTAATTTGTGGACATCTGGGAACGTCTGTCTCCTCTCTGGCTCCACCCCAGCACTAGACCGGGCAGTGGAGATGAGCAGGATGTGAATTTCCACCCACAGTGCCAGAGAACTATTAACAATTTCAGGGACTATGGTTGTTTTTGTACCTTTTGGTCAGGACCTTACTTCTGGCTTTTCATAGAAGGCTACTCCTTTGTTCTCCTTGAGGGATGAACTCTCATTCTCCCCAACCTCCATGGTCAGGAAGTGAGGTGGGGACTCCCTAAAGCTCCTTCCAGACCATCGCCCTCCTGCCCATAAATGCACCCAGCCACCTGCTCCTCTGAGGCTCCCGTAGCCGACACCCACGGCTGTCAACCAAGCACCTGTCCTAGCTGGCTTCCTCCTTGCCTAACTCTTGCCCTCATGGAGGAGGCCTCACGTGAACTCTGGCCCTGACTTCCGGTGCTCAGTGACCACCAACTCCATGGCCTCAACCTAGAAAGACTTCACCTCTGAAATCTGAAATTCAGGCTCCCCAGCTGGACCTCAGCTCTGCTCCTTTCCCTTGCTTCTCACCCGTGTTGGTGTGAGAGCCATGGAAGAACTTGTAATGCCTGACTGCATCCAAACCCTCAGCCTAAGAGCCTTGAATAAACACTAGCATAGTTCTCCTAGCTCAGCGCCGCATCCCTACAGTGACAACTCCAGCCCCATGTGGCTCCTGCCTGGGAAAGCTCAGGGCTGCCACAGTGATTGACTGTTTTGGTCTACCCTGGAAGGTCTCTGTGTCCTGGTGTTTGTGAGATGGGAGGACATCCCATCACTTTCATGAGGGCCAGATCACACACCCAGATGGCCAAGCCACTTGGGCCAAACCCCCCTTTCTCCCTTCATGCCTTTCCCCTGGTTCACCGAACCTTTAAAAATGCTCCAGCCTCTTGTTTCAGAGAAGCAGAATTCAGGACATACTGGATTCTCTTCTCTATTGCAGTAGTTAACACTGAACAAAATCGGTCCTACAAGTATCTGGCTTTGTTTTTCTTTGACAATAGTGTGTTCTGCCCACCCATCTCTCCTGCCTGCAATCCTTCCCCTCCTCAGCATAGGTCCGAAGATCCACTATTTCTACCTTCTCTTGTCTCATCAACCTTTTGCTCTATCAACCTGGAAACCTCAGCTCTGTGTCAGTCTAACCCATGACCCTCTCTGCTATAGCATCGCCATGAGGCCACCTGACAAAACCATACAGATTTGTGCTTCCTCAAATTCATGATTTCTCCCAGCACTCTAGAAGCCTGAGGCAGGAAGATTGCTAGTTCAAGCCTAGTCTGGGCAACTTAGTTTAGCAAGACCTTGACTCAAAATTAAAAATGAAAAAGGGTTGGGGATATAGCTCAGTGCTGAGGCTTTGAGTTCCATCCCCAGTACTGGAAAGAAAGAAAATCACAGTTGCTAATGTGCCTTGGTGCTGCCTACCAACCTGTTAAATAACCTGAATTTACAGTAGTATTTTCTTGTTCTGCCATGTTTCCATCAGTTACCGCTTCTACCACAATTTCAACCACTTTCTGTGGGATCCTTCCTGTCAGCATTTCATTCTGATCAAATCTCTGCTGTCCTGCTGTCCTCCAGCCTCGTGGTCCCTTACTCTGGTTCCTGTCACATCTGGCCTTCTCCACCAGAGGGTGGGCTTCACTGCCTGCCTTTCTTACCTTCTGCTCACTCCTCAGCCCTCAGCAAGACTCCTCTCCCCATCTGGTCTGCAGCAAGACCACTGGCGGCCTCCTGAGTAATATTCACCCTCCATTCCTCCCTCACTGACCTCTGAGCATTGTGCAAGGCTACCATCTCTCCCCTCTGGAAACATCTTCTTCTCTTGACGTCAGGGACACACACTTTTCTGATCTTCTTTCCACATTGCTCGCCAATCCTCGCTTCCCTTCCGGTCCCCTTTTCCTCTGTGGGCTCCTCCCTCATGGGCTCTGTTCTTGACTCTGTTGCCTGCCCTGTCTTCTCCCGTGGGATCTGTCCCCTGGGACACTGTCATCCATGCACTCACTTCTGGTTACCGTCCATGCCCTCAGCCTAGATCTCTTCTCTGCACTCCAGACCTGTCTGTTCAACAGCCTCTTGGATGTCTTAGTACCACCTCGCACTCCTAATGCCTAAACATCACACTCTTCTCCAACGACCCCTGCTTTTCCCACTCAGTGTGGAAGACCGTCATCTATCCCATGGCTGAAGCCAGAAACACGGAGATCATTCTTCACTCTTTCCTCCACATTCTATATCCAATCAATTCCAAAGTCTATTTCTTTCTCCTCCATAGATCTCTCAAACGTGTCCACTTTTTTCCATGTGCACTGACATGGCCTCAGATGATTTCTTGCCTGGAAATCAGCCTCCTAACTGGCCTCCCTGCCTTTATCACTCACCCTTACTATAATCCATCATCCACAGTGCTACTAGAATGGTTTTTCAAAATGTAAATCTGGCCATATCTGCTTAAAACTCTTCAGTGAATTCCACGGGCCTGAGGAGAAAGCCCAAGCTCCCTGCAAATAAACTGCTTATGTCCTGGCTGCTGCTTCGTTCTCAGCCTTCTCTCCAACTAGTGCCCTCCCTCCCTACCTCGAGCTGTGAGCTCAAGCTCTTCTGGGGCTCTCTGTGCGTGGTGACGGTCACAATGCTATGCACAGCTCGGGGGGGGGTGTGATTATGGAGATGCTCGTTGTTGAGGATTATGAGGGTAACTTGAACACACTGCCCACCATGTTTTAAAGATTGTCTTTGGAGGCAGACTCCATCCCAGGGCCATTCTTGTCCCTGTCCCCTGGGAGGTTGACCATGTCTGTCCACCCGGGGCCCACACCAGGGTTGACTTTGGACCCTCTGGTAAGGGCGCTAGCCAGGACCCATGCTGACTGTTGGAATCAGCCTGAACCTATGTCCAGAGCTCATCTCCTTCCCACTTGAGCCTCCATGTTGGTGATAGGACAGCAATGGGGATGATGGGAGAGTCATCATGTCAGGCATGAAGATCTGTTGCTGTTGGCACTCAGTGGGGACATAGACACAGTTGCTGGGGCCCATGGAAGAGGAGCCCCTGGGGGGTCCAGCCAGTTGGTGCCAGCCTCAAGTCCCCTCTCTGCTGCCAGCTCCCTGGAGACTGGCTGAGGGGCTGCTTTGACCTTCTCAGAGCTGTAGGCCTGTGACACTGATCTGTCACCCACACTCTAGGAACTCCCAGGCCTGGTGGTCTCATTCCTGTCACAGGGCTCTTGGCCTACCAGGCTGGGGCCCCAACACTCCTCATGTAGACAGCATCCTCCCCAACACCAGCATGTATTTGCATCTGCGGATATGCATAGCAGCCGCTTTTCCTAAATGGAGGAGAAAGGAGCTGAGCAGGCTGGAGGTGATGAGAAGGCATCTGCCCTGGGGTGGGCTAACGGTGCCCAAGGATAATTAGGTCCTAGTCCCTGGAAGCTATGATGTCACTTTCTATGACAAAGGAGGTTTTGCACGTGTAAGTAACAGTGTTGACTTGGGAGGTTATCCTGGATTATCTGGGTCAGCCCTAAATGCAATCGTGGGTGTCTTATAGGAGCAAGACAAAAGAAAGTTTGACATGGAACAGGAAGGCAGTGTGACCACTAAACACGATGGCTTTCAAGTTAGAGGAAGGGGCCCCGAGCCAGGGAATGCAGAGACACATCCGAAGCCAGAAGGGGCAAGGAAATGGGTTCTCCTCAGAGCCTCTGGAGCGAGTGTGATACCTTCTTTTCCACCCAGTGAAACTTTTCAGACTTCTGACCTCCAGAACCATGAGAAAATAACTATGTCTTCTTTAAAACCACAAAATGTATAGTAACTTCCATGCAGCAATAAGAGGCAATATAGCCCCCTTCTACCCTCCCTCTCTGTCCCCCTGACTTCCTCCTCATCAGGCTGCTCACTGGTTGAGGAGGAACACTGACCACTGGCAGTAGGGAAGGTCATCCTCAACTCTGCTTCGAGCCCCGAGCCTCTGGTTGCAAGGAATGGTGGCTTTGAAAACACTGGGAGGAGGTAACCTCCTCAGAGTAGGAGTCACACACATGCCCAGGCCATTTCAGGGACCTTGCTAGTGGGAGGCACTGAAGTAGGACAGGAGGAGAATTCCAGAGAAGCCATGTGAGGATGGCGGCTGACAGGGTGATGCTTTAGCATATGTGTGCTCCCTTTTTGGAACTCCCAGAAATACTTATGGCAGAGGAGGAAGAGGGCAGAGGTCCTGTAGGCGCGAGAAGAGAAACAGCAGGGACTTTGGGTTAGGGATGTTAATGGAACTTATTTATAGTCGCAGTCTGGGAGGGTCTGATAACATTCGTGTCACGTTGCTCTCCTGGCTCACGACCCCTCCCGGTCTTTACTCCAGCTAAGTGAGCAAATGATGATTTCCAAGCTCTTTCATCCCCTTTCCCCATTTTCCCTCAGTTTTTATCTTTGTCTTGTTGAGTTGAGGGAGCACTTCCTATCATTCATTGCTACAAATGCCCATTTAACTTTGGTTATGTAGTGTTTGCCAACCTGAAGCTTTCATTTTTTATGTGTGAAGCGTGTCAACTTTTCCTTTTATGATTTCTGACTTAGAATATCACGCCGAAAGAGCTTTCTCTGCCTCAGTAAATACTCACTCAGAGCTGGGAGTGTAGCTCAGTGGTAGACACTTACCCAGCATGCTTGGGGACCCAGAAACATCAAAAACAAATAAACAAAAACAATACTTACATTTTCTTTCCATAAATTTTCATAAACTCACATAATCCATCTTTCCACCATTCATTAGCAATGCCTCTTTTCTCACATACTAACTAATCATCTCCTTTATAAATATAAATTTTTAAAAACAGATTAGCTATCTGGTTAAAGTGATTTAACAATATTTTTAAAAATCACATTGGTATTTTGAGTAGGATTGTACGAATTTATCAACTAACTGAGGGAAAATAAACAATCTTTGTATCATTGCATTTTGCCTCAGAGAGGAAGGTCTGCCTCTATTTAAATCTTCTTTTGTGTCTGGGGAGAATCATGCCAGGGTTTCAGCCCTTTGCAGCCTTTTCCTTCATTTTTGTTTCTTTTTGTTCCTTTCTGTCAAGTTTGGGGAGGGTAGTTTTGTAAACCTACATTTAAGCTACCACGATTCTCTGAAGTCTTTAGAGTTGCCCTGAATTGAGGGGGAAGGCGGAGAAGATGAGCTGAAGCTGTGGGTGTGGGTGAAATTCAGAGGTGACTAAATGCTAAATGAGTGGAACAGAGCTCTGCACACCACCAATGTCTATAGAGAGAGGGACTACCACGGTAAATATGGGTGAGAGAGAGCAGGCAGAAGAGAGGCCAGAAACCGGCATAGTGGTGTCAACAGGGGAAGAGGAAAGTTCAAGGGCAGCAGAATCAGTAGAGTCCTCTGTTGTAGGAAAGTTGCTGAGAATGACATCGACGGAGGTGTGGGTTGCACTGCTTGTGGCTGGTTAGGGTTGAGGTGACCATATCATTTAGTGAACCAGCTGGACACTTGGGAAAACTCTGGGAGGATGAGGTAAAGCAGGATTATTCCTGGCAAACAGAACACATGTGTCCCCAGTTGCAGTGATCCCTGAGAAAGTGGTCTCTGTGGAGAGAAAGCCGAAGTGCCTAGGTTGTGTGGGTGAGGAGTTCAGAGCATGACACTGACTGCTCTCTTTAGAAGTTTGCCTGGAAAGAGAAGGAGAGAGTTAGATCATTGATGGAGGGGAATTAAAGTTGAAGTGGAGTATATTTGCTTGTCTGTTTTCTAGGCTAAGAGATTTGTCCGTGTGAGGAGGGAAAGGACATAGAGAGAGGATATGGATGTGGAGGAGAAGTATAGGAAGTGAGAGGTTAATATCAACAGCCTATAGTGGACAGGGGGTTGGCCTGGAAGGAAAGGAAAGACAGTTCCTAACAGGAGAGGCAAAAAGAATGGTACGCGATAAACCAGCAGAAGGATAAGGTTCGAAGAAGGGAGTTGCAAGGAACTCAGCTTCTCAAGAATGGTTCCTGAGAAGGAGGTGGTTCATCTACATGGGGCAAAGCCTCCAAAAAAGAAAGGGGTAGAAACCCTCCACCACTGTCCCCCAAGGATGAACACGGATAGATCATCTCTGATGGATTGAGATCACTGCGGGTGGGACCCAGGACAGCTGTCTCAGCTCAGTGCTATCCTAGGTACTTTGGCACATTGAGAGTTTCCTCCATTGGAGAACAATCACAGTG